AGAAAGCATTGCACTATTGTTACCCTCGACGTCAGGAACGCATTTACTACGGCAAGGTGGAGTTCCGTGCCTGCAGCGTTAAAAAATCTGGGAGTTCCGAATTTCATTACGAAAATAGTCAGAAGCTACATTGAGGAAAGGGCCTTACTATACGAAACAGAGACCGGAATAAAGACCTATGGTATCACGGGTGGTGTTCCGCAAGACTCGGTATGTGGCCCGCTGTTGTGGAATATTATGTATGACTCGGTTTTGAAGCTCCAGCTGCCGGAAGGCGCAAGGGCCATTGAATTTACTGACGGTGTTGCGGTGGTAGTGGTCAGCAAATATACTGAAGAGATCACGCACGTTGCGAACGAGGCTGTGGTTGCGATCCGGCGGTGGCTAACGTCGGTAGGGCTCCAGATGGTCGAGCATAAAACAGAGGTTGTCTTGGTGACAAGCAGGAAAGTAAAGGAGGGTATTACTGTCAATGTAGGAGGGTAGTAAAATAGTCTCTCAGCAGACACTAAGGTACTTAGGAGTCCATATTGACGCGTGACTGCACTTCAACGAGCACTTTCTTACAGTCGGCAAGAAAACTTATCGCATGGCCTCCGCCTTGGCACTAACATTGGGGGTTGAAGGCAAAGTAGCCAGAAGCTACTGTCTAGCGCGATAAACTCTGTTCTACCATACTCCGACTCCATTTGGGCTGATGCCTTTGGAATCCGATCGTACGCTCGCGGTGTGAAGTCAGTCTATAGAAGGCCAGCCTTGAGAGTGGCCCGGGCGTTTCGCACGGTATCGTATGACTCTGTGTGTGTGATATCTATATATCCCCTACAGACTTCATGGCACAAGGGCCAAACTCTGCAGCCGTAAGCGAGAGGAAGCTACAATTAGAGCGTCATCTTGAAGGAAGAGAGGGACGTGACATTGGCTCAGTGTCAACGGCGTTGAATTTTATCATCCACTGATAGATAGACATTTCGTCTTATTCCAAACATAATGACGTGGACTCAAAGGAAACGCGGAGATGTGGATAATTATTTGACCCAGTTGTTAACGGGGCATGGGAGCTACCGTGCATACCAACTCCGTTTCCGGTTGGAAGATGACTCCTCGTGCCCAACCTGTGACCCATTTGTTGAAGATGTGGAGCTCGTGTTCTCACACTGTCCACGCTTCGTTGAAGAAAGGGAAGAACTCCACCGACTCCTCATGAGGTAGTGACTCCTGAAATCTTCGTCACTGGGATGCGGATGTCCCAGGAGAATTGGAGTGCGGTAGCCACCTGCGCCGCAATAGTTTTAAAGAAGCTTCGGGTAGAAGAACGACTGCGAACATCAGTTGGTATAGAGCGATAAACCGTTCTGCCCTTCCCGTGATTCAACGCCTGACGGCGGTTCCGGGAAAGGAATAGAAGGAATGGGAGGGGTTTTTAGTGAATAAGGCACATGCTAGCTGTCAATCCCACATGCTGGGGAGCGCGGGCTCCGCAGTGTCTTTGAAAGATTTTTCCCCTGCCCTCGTAAAACAAAGGTGGCGGCAGAGACTTGGGACGCGAAGTCCGCCGGTTATCTCAGCCTCTTGGCGGTCTCGGCCCCTGGAGGTCTCGATCGGGAGCCCGCAGCCGGCTGCTAAGGACGGGCGAGCGCGTGGTGTCGAGAGAAAGAGCGCCGGCCGGTAAAATCTCCCGACAATGCAGGCCTCTAACTACACACAGAACAATGGTGCAAGTGCTGACATTGGTGCCATCAAGTACTATGCGTGAATATGTAAAAGTACAGGAGCGACATAAACCTATGTGATGTGCGGGGACCGCGAAGGTGCTTTTCACTGGAAGTGTTCCTAGACGAGTAGTAGGTATAATAAAAGCTTACCGCAAGAGGCTCATGTAGGTCTTTACGGAGCCGCGGTAGAGAGCAGTTGCGACGAGGATGACGTAAAACTGAAATGCTAACCCCGCCTCAAGAGAATAGAAAACGAAACGAGTACGATAAAAGTTGTAGCTCCACTAGTTACACTGGTAAACCTTTTATTTTTTTGTCGTGGGTTCTGCCGGGGTATGTTTCGCCGACCTTCCGGTGACGACGAACAAAGGGACCGCAGCAGGTAAAACGCAGCGACCGGCGGCACAGTCGGAAGGCTACCATTTAAAGCTGTGTTCTGCTAGCGGTCGCGCGAACGCCCTCCTCCGCTTCGCGTCGCTCGGCGACGCTTGGCGCAGCAGCGCACGCCCGCTGCACGTGGGAAAGTCTCCATTCAAACGAATGCTCTGCTACGAGCCGCGCTGCTCGGAAGCGCACCGCCGTCGCGACGTGGGAAGAGGCCCTTAAGCTCCTGGCTGGCTGAGGCGGCGGCCGGCAGGTCACCCACGAGTCGGGTAGATCAGACACTGGCGAACGGCGTCCACGGAATCACCCTATTGCCACGCGACCCTAGTCGTTAGGAATGCGCAGGGCGGCACATAAATGTCCGCGTAAAGCCACTGTGATGTGGCAGATGCGCGATCTCCTTCAAGAGCTAAGTGGCAGTTTGAACCTTACTCGGCTGACATTTTTATCTGAATGATGTTACCCTGAAACAAAATTCACCACCGAACTTCTGTCTCCCACCCATTCACCGACGAGGTTGCCTACTACTCGTTGTTCTTGAACGAATGGTGTGGGAGTGGGGCTTGTCCACACCCAATCCAATATCGGCGCATGTCCGTTGAAATTTGTTTCTAAAAATGCCTCAAATTCTGAAAATCTAATTTGCGTTTATCAGGTACCTTCAGGGAACATAAAGCTGCAGCATCCGGTAATGACTGGAGAACGGGCGGCCTTTCCGAGAGGCCACGACCAAAGGAAAGCTTCGCGTAGCTGGAGTTCGGCGTCGGCTGCCGCAGCAGCCGCCACCCGCTGCACGTGGGAAGGCCTCCATTCAAACCAATGCTCTACTACGCGTCGCGCTGCTGCGAAGCGTGCCGCGGTCGCGCCGTGGGAAGTGGCCCTGAGGGCGGGAGCGGCCGCGGTGGCGGTGGGGCGATGGGCTGCTCGGTGTACTGTTAAACTAAGCACGCTCATTGTTTTCAGTATTCAGAATTCAACTTGTAAATGGCTTAGGGAAGGGATCCCAAAATTTAAAAAACCCTGCACAGAATACACTTCTCCCTGTAGCACATCAAACACTGTTTCTAAATGTTTCTGAATTAAAATATTTTTTTTAAAAAAGTACACTGACATTCACTACGCTACCTCGCCGAGGTACCAGCCGAGAGACCAGTCGGGAGCTTAAACCTTATCTCGACAGGGGCGGGCGGAGTAGAGTTGCACCGGATCCCATCATCCAACGGGGAAGGACACTTCCTCCTCCCGTGATAGAACATGAACTACACATACGGGATTAATGTTCATAGCAGTGAAATAATCAAACAATCAAAAGCTGACAACGATGTGGCATCTTACAGATCCCTTCGATCGCAGCACCTATAAACACCACAGTAATAAAGGCCAACCCTTAAGCTATTGAGTATTGCGTCTAAGCGACGTTTTTGTATTTCTCTTTTTTAAAAGTCTAAAAAATGATATAGCATTTAGAGGGAATTTGCCATTTCGTGCCTTCTGTGTAATGTAGAGGGGCTTCAGAGGCTTCAGTTGATGTAGCGTAGCGCTTATCATGTGTAACCGACACATCTATGTTCTCAGGTTCAAACTCATTTCAAGTGTGATTTTTTGAGAGCAGAAGGTAGTGAACATAATTCACATGCCTTCCTTAAAAGAGGATTTGATTTGATTTATTTTGTCAAAGAACTGTAAAACCTCGATGTGACGCATGGAGAAGGAGAGTTGTCCGCCTCATATGTGATATATGTCGTACGTTTACTACATGTTACGTGACGTTTACTACATGAGCCTAAAAGACGCTTCAAAGCAAAATTTAAATTGGTATTTTCTGATCAAATAATTCGTATAGGCATCTTATTTCTTTGCCAGACAGCATTATTATGCCGACAAATTTGGCCCCTGTCATGCAGATGCAAGCAAGGCAACTTGAAATTCTCAGATTCGGTAGCTGGACGAGAATAGTTGTAAATTTCCTTAAATAGAAGTTTATACGGTATGCAAGTCCAGCTCTTTTCCCACCTATGTAATGAAAAATAATGCTTAATGTTATTTTAAAAGAAATCGGTGTTATTATAATATGTCCGTTCGTGATTGAAGTACAAAATTCCGCGGGAGGGGGAGTCTTGAGCAACCTAAGCCCTCCGCTTCTTGACTATGTGTCAGGCCGTTGTGCTCAAAATATTTAGAAATCGTGGGCGTATCAAACCAACTTGTCAACTTGTTATAAAAAAGGTCCGTCTTTCCAGACACGTAAAAATTATTTATTTTGTGTACTAATCACTTGTGTGTACTAATCGTTGGAAATGTTTCTAATTAAAAAACAACACTTCTGAGACAAGTACCGGCTGAGTTCAGCTCAGAGCTCTAGCATTGGCGCTGTCCCTGGAGAGACACGCGCTGTCTCTGGAGGTCCTAGGGTTCGAGTTCGGCTTTTTGACATTAGCCACTGTCTGGAGGAGAATTCTAGTGGCCAGCTGTTCTAGTCGGTAGTTTCCCAAGGTTTCTCCGATGAGTATCAGACGCATGCCAGAGCAGTTACTTGACAAACGGACCACGGACCGCACGCGATATTTCCTTCCTCTTTCTTGTCTTATTCTCACCATTTACTTACATACCCTTACACTTACGAGCACTACACTACCACGCATACCAAGAGACCAATCGGGAGCTTACGGCTTACCACCTGGGGCGGTGCCCCGCAGCGGGGAGATATCTGGAAGATTGAAATCCCGCAACCCGATTTGTAGGTCAGGGCCGTAACTCACCTGCCGAGAGGAACATTGCATCCTCCCGGAATAAAACATTCACTATACCAAGGAGATGAATGACCATAGTATTAGTTCACATGCCCGGAAACATCAATCATTCTTAGACAGGTATTAATTAAATTGAAACTTTATTTTACAAAATATTGTTTATATTTATTTATAATTATTCAGTTGAGATCCTGAGTTTTCTTTGGAAAATTTGATGAATATCCTTTTGTGGCATATCATCCCAGTGCATATGGAGGTGTACTTCCAGTTTCTACAAAATATACTCCTCTTGTGCTGTGGAAAAAAAATTGTTATTAACCTTTTCTGTTGTTTTTTAGATAAAAGTCAAATAATCAAGAGTTTGAAATTAAACTAAACTATGTATATATGAATATACAACTAAAATTAATTAACACAATGAATAGTAATTATTAAGAATTTTATGATCTCGGTGAATTAAAAATAAAGTAATTTTTATTTCCTATTCAAATCCACTGTAAACATAAAGGAAGTTAATAATAGAGGAATAAATGAATGCTTATTTGCTTTTCTATGTGGAAAAAGAACTTGGATTGGTTAGAAACAGAAATTTAGAAAAAGTGTATGACAACACTGAAATATAACAAAATGAGGCAAGAGTTTCATCTGGATATTGTACAAGTGACAAAATCATTATTTGTATTATCCTAATTTACTACATCAAGCATTTGTGGAAAAAAAGCAGGGGTGACCCCATAAAATATTTCAGAGATGAGCATTTCTAGATTGTGACCCATCTCCTCTCAAATATATTTGAAATAATATTTTTTTAAATAGTTAGCATGTCAAAAAAGTGTAGATTTATAATGAAAATACTCCTTTAGATGTGACATGATATATCTGTAGTAATTGTGTGAATAAATTGAGTAAATTGAACAAAATATTGGAGGACGGAAGCATGGCACATGGCCCCTATGGCTCCTCCTTGGGTTAGTCATTGCCATTTGGTTTGTTAATGATTGGGAAACATTAATCAAGAAGATATGGTTTGAACAGCCACTGAGCTGGAAAAAGTTTTGCTTTGAAAATAAATCGTATAAAAGCTGAAGTTTAATGAATATTAATAATGAAGAAATAAAACTTTGAAACAAAGATAAACATAAATTGACAATAAACAAGCACAATAAATGGTTATTTGTAAATATCCTGGTTAAATTCTGAAAATAGACTTGAAAAGTAAAAACAAAGAAAAGACATTTTCATAACTCAAAAAACTACACTGTGAATCCACTATATCAGGAATTAAGGAAGAAAACAGAGGCAGAGTTGATTCGAGGGCAGGGGTACATGACACCTCCCTTCTGCAATGAACATTTTGTAATTTTATGCAGTTTTTTGAAAATAATTACCATATATAATTTCATCATATCCAAAGTGATATTCCCATTATAAATACCCCTAATTTTTTATTTAAATTTCATGAGGACAAAAAAATACTTAAAAATATTTAAATATATTTAAAACAATTCAAATATATTTTTTGGTGCTCAACTGTAATTCCCCTTACCGTGGCATACTTTCTGGATTTGCTGTTCAATTAGGAAGGGTGCTTTCATAATAAGGATCACCTGGAGGAAACAACAGGACTGGGGCAGTAAATCCAATAGAGGCCCTTTATTTTAAACATGAGTTCTGCCTGCTTCCCCAAAACATAAGCAACAGATCTAACTGATATGGGTTAATATGAATTAAAAATAAATCCATTTTTTATTTATTTTGAATGAAAAAAATCAGGATCCCTGTTAAATCATGCCTGGGGCAAGTTTGGTCCAGCTACCTCCCCTTCTGCACACCCCTGTTTATAACATACAAGGACAAGCTTTGTAGAGAGAAGAACCACTGCTTTTGAGATGTGGTGGATATGGAGAAAATGAATAAAAATTTACTATATCAAATATTGAGTGAGAAACTTTTTAAGTCTCATAAAATATTAAGAAAAAACAATTTTGAACACAGTGAAGATAAGAAATGCAAATGAGGTACAAGGTCATTTCAAAATGCAGCATCTCATTAAAGACTAATTGAAGAAATGATCAAAATAGAGAAAATAGGAAGAATGAAAAAAATGATGATTAATGACCAGAAAATGTTGATGAAATATAAACCTTTAAAGGGCCAAAAAGGGAGAAAAAAAAGGGATTACTATACAACGTAAATAAAAGACTTTTGAAACTGAGAATTTCTGTAATGAACCTAAAGAAAAATTGCTAAGAAGTTTTTCAGTCATGAATAATGAAGCTAAAATGTATTGAGCAACCTAAATGGTGGAGTAGATGTATGATGCATGCATAGTTTGCTCTTGAACACAAAATTGGCTTTACATGATGCAGTGTTTTAGAAATACCTAATGTCAAGACAACCCGCACAATATTGTAATTTTATCACTAGAATTCTTTCTAATTAGTGTATTTTGGGGTAAAGATGACCAGGTGGGGTAAAGGTGATCAACTGGACATGCTTCCAATTACTGATTTGGTGCGCTCAAATTGAGTGGTCAATAATTGACAGCATGTTTCATTGGTCAATTTACCCCAAAATATGGTACTGGTTCTTGGAGAAAATCAGAATTTTTTCCTTTAAAAATGTTTAATATGTATTATGAGTATATTTCAAATTTCAAATTTTGAAATTTTTATTATTATTATTCACATCTGCAAATAGGTGAACTACAGAGTAATATTGCAGCAATAGCACAGACTACAATATATCTGGCATTTTAGTATTTTGTTCTCTTCTTCATTCATATTTTGCTTTCATTCTGTCATAATAAGTTCATTTTCTTTCTAGTCAGGCGGTTCTGATCTTAGATTTTTGAAAATATATCATATGAAACATTAACATTTGTACCATATTTTTACCTCTGATTTGTGTAAGCTCTAAATTAATGTCTTTGCCTGCAGAGAAATGGCTCTCAATATCCCTGCAGACTCTATGGCTGTATTGGCTTTCGCAAAAACCTCAAAAATGCACAATTTTCATCTGTTAGGGAATAAGAACCAAATAAATTATCACAAAAAATTGCTATATTAATTATTGTTATGTTAAATAAAATTTTTTGGAAGGTCAGGAGAAGTTTTTTAACCGTTTATAAGTGATCCACTCAGCAACAATACATTTTCTCCCAATAACATGTGGCAATATGGTCAATATTCATGATGAGGAGTAACTTCTAGAGCTCTTATATTTGCAACTACGATTGTAATTGATAGAGATTACCCATAAAAATGAAAGAATGATGGTGGAAAATGAAGTATCACTAGCACAAGTACCCATGCCTAAAGTAGATTCAAGCCCAGGACCCTTTATGCAGAGTACTTTAGAACACTCTGCCTCAGAATCTTCATTTACCTGGATTTACACAGATTTTACATTATTGATACAAAGATAATTTTTTAAGAATTTACTTTATAGTATTATTAGCATTTGCATAATGTTCACCATTGATTCACAACGGGAAATACGTTTAATTTCTCATAAAACATATTTTTCATAAATTCTCATTTATACAGTATATTTATTTTTGTGGTTCATAATTTATAGTAATTTTTAAAGTATGTCTTATTATTCGTGTTTGATAGCTGACAATCATTATCATTTCTTGCTTGGATATTACCTGGCTGCATAGACATAAAAGAATCAAATGTAGCTGGGTGGTTGGCTGTGGATTTTTTTTTTTTCTTTTTTTTCTTCTTCTTCTTCTTTTTTAATATATTTACAGTGTATTTATAGAATCAGCCGAAATTGTACATCATCTAGGCTAATCTGTTTTATATTATGAATGATTCAATAAATTAAAAAGAGAGGTCAAGCTCTTCCAAAAGAGAGAACATTGATATGAAATAAACAAATACAAATAAAACACAATAAAAAATACATAGAAAGAACTATGATATCAAGAAAACAGAAAACAAGACTAATGAAAATTCAGAAAGTGGAAGAGTTGGAACCATTATTTTTTTAAATTTATTTATTTACTTTTGTTTAATAAAAGCAATCCTGATAAAAATAAACGTATAAAAACAAAAATATATTTACAAAATAAATATAATTTGCATCTTGCAATGATTACACCTTATCAGGCAATGATAATCAGGTAAGTTCAATTCAAGGCAATTACAACTGTTTTTTTCTTTGTCAAATATTATTTAAATTAAATATTCTTGTAGAAAATGGATGTCATATATCGTGATTTTAAAATTTTTACAATAATACAATTCTGTCATAGTTCATGGGTGCACATTATACAATTTACTTACCACATAATTCTAATACCACAAAAAATTGTCTCTTACCTAGAATTGCAATGTTCTCCCACAATCACTCTCTCTGAACCACTGTCAAGTACTGAACACCATCCCACCACATACTGATAATAACTGGGGCATTGAGTTCCCCAAAAGCCAATATCTGACTCAATAGATTCTGCAAAATAGATATTTGCCAACAAATGGCTGCACAGTGGAACATCTGAAACAAATTGTAGATTGAAAAAATAAATAAATAAATAAAATAATATAAATTAAAATAAATTGAGTATTCCCTAAAATTAAGGTTTCCAAGAAATTCTTTTATAAGAGTTTAGAATGTGCAGCATGATTAATAACATGTATTTTGACATCACTTCGTTAAAATTTTACAATATAATATTTATCCATAAGAATTTTTAGCATTCATGAAAGTTATGATTAGAGGGCAGATTTTAATGAAATGTAATTTTTTTTTTCTTTTGAGAAGAATGCTGTTTAGTATAGAAATTCATTTTATGTTACGAAAAAGCAAAATGACTCATTGTTTTAAGTCATTTTTAAAGCATTTTTGCTGATTTCATCAATTTTAATATCATTCTAATGGTACTTGCTTTAAACAATATTTACGAAGTGCAGCAAATGTTCACCACAGAATTCCTGAGAAGCGTATTTCGATTTCTTCACTCATGCATTGTAATGTCAGCCATTGTGAGTCCTATGTAATCTATGGTTCCTGTGATGTCAATCGGCACCATTCATTTCAGTTGATTTTGCGATAAATAAAGAACAGTCCAAACCCAAAGTTTGCAAGCTGAATTCACTTGAACAATAGAAAAAAGCCTTGATTCCATCAGTAATGTACCCAACTGCTTGAGTTGTTCATCTGAAGTGGTTTTGGTCAAATTGTTTGTGTCATTTTTCTTTGTTCTTAGAGCATTTTTAAAGCATTTTAAGAGAATTTTATTGATAATTTTTGGCAATGTTATAGATCATCAAAATCTGCCCCCTCATTATGATCTAGCAAAGGCATATATTTATTCTAAAAGAAATCCTATTATTTTAAAAAGAAGTTGGTCATGATTTCAAATTAGTTTCAAGCAAGTTTCAGATAATTACTACAGTGCTTTAAACTTCAGTGTAATGCATTGTCAACTCTTTGTTATTAAGAAAAATCATCTAAGGAAAATATTTTGATTTACTTTGTTTTATTGTGTATGGTTTGGCATAAATTATTCGGATATGTTATAAAGTTAATATATTAAATTGCTGTGTATAGCCCTTGTATTTTACATTTACAACCTTTTGGAAAGAAGAAACATTAATGATTATTCATAGAAATTGTAGTACAATTGAAAGACATTGTATGTCTTAAAATAGTAAGCCAGATTAATTTGTCTTTAATAATATCTGTTTAAAGCATTTTTAAAGACATCTCTGTCATAAATTGAAATATTTAATTTATTGAAAAATAAATGTTGAAATGGCTTATAATCAAAAGTCAGTAATATGTACATCATGTAATTTTGATTGTCATAAGGTTATATGTGAGCAGGGATTGATTTCTGGCAGAATCTGACATATCAGTGTTCCGGTAGGGCCTACCTTGGGAATAATTATTAAATTATACCACACTTATATATTATTATTTCCATTAAATTAATAAGCTGTTTGGGGGTTCATTCTGAGACTTAAAATTTTATAAATTAAGCAATGTATATGGGTAACAATTTTTCAGATGAAGTTAGCGACTAAATTGATCCATGGCATTTACAGGCTAAGTGGATACTGAATGCCCAGTTGTTATAGGAAAAATATGATCAAGCAGTTAAAAAGCGACCTTAACTAAAACAACTACTCATGATTTCAGCTTTGATGGATAGGCTACCATTGGAACTGTAGGGACTGGGAGCATAAACGCAGAACTAAAATGTATTGTTACATGTGAAATACTATCATTCATGATTGAAATATAGGTGATAAATCAAATTAATTAAGTAATACATTGATATAAATGCATTATAATGTGCCTACTGACATTATTAAGTAGCCATATTAATATTAAATATTAATAATTAAAGGCATACAATTGCTAAAGACTAGTTTTAGCTAGTATACCACTCAAAACAAGCATCAGAGTTCTAAAAGTCCACAACTGAGACAAAAACAGAAAATGCGGAATTGAAAAGTATTTACAATAGTGCAGAAACAATATTTTCTAATATTGATTATGTAATTTACATTACATAAATTACTCAATTACAAAGAATATTTACAAGGTTGTTATCATAGGAATATTAAATTATTTGCACCATCCTAAACATATGCACACACTCGCACTTCTTTGTCTTGTTATTACAAAGTCCTGTCCTGTCTTATGGCCTACTGTGGGCCTTGGCTGACCAATGGTGACCCAGCCTCTCGACCATGGGATAATGGGTTTGTGTGGTTAGGACGAAGACATTCTTTCACTCTATATTCTGGTTATGATATTTTTAGGGTGGGCTTTTTATCACAGTAATAGATACTAGGACATTTGTAAGGAAAGCACATAGTTATTATTTAGCCCCGACTGGGAATCAAACCTGGGGTTGCTCTGTGGAAAGCGTTAATGCTAACCAACGAGCCACTAAGGGCTTGTTATTACAAAGTACTATCATAAATTTTAAGTAGAGATTCTGCTGTAAGGTTGTCATTTACAGAAGCAAATCAATTGTCCAACAAAAATTAGTAAACCATTATTTTAAAGAATTTTGCACCTTTAATATAAGTCAATTGAAGTTGGTTGTATAGATGAAGATTCATATTGTCAGAAAGAAATTGCTTACAAAGTTTGGTGCTGTGATGTGTTACATACAATTTTGACTTATTTCTTGTATTGTGGTAAAGTATTTGTATAATACTTTCTTATATAAATAAGCAAAGAGTGGTAGAATCTTTAACAATATGAAGGATGGTTTATATCTTGTGTCAGAAATATTGGATTGTATACTTATCACTCCTTTCTGTATAATGGGCATTGTTATGAACATAGTTCTGTTACTGCAAAATATAATTTCATGTTACTGGAGGATGAAAATAATTACAATACAAAAGTTTAAGGCTTCCTTTAGTCACATTATGATTTCAGTCTGTAATACAGAAACACATCTTAATGAGTTTTCTACATAAATTATTTATATATGCGAGCTATTGAAATTATGTTTCCATTAAATCACACTCAAAGGAATTGAGATCTTGATATATTATTATTATTTATTTCTACTTGTGGAAAGTTCAGTATTTTATTTAGATTTGCTCAAATTATTACAACCATATTCTCCTAATTAATTAGTAGTTTATTTTGTAGAAGCTATGTAAGTATTACTTTTGCTTCCATGGTTTCAAGATTTCAGGCTATCTCATCCATGTTTTCCCCTGATATGTCAACTAATATCATCTCGGTAATTTTGTAATGAGATTTTGTTATGAGTTATTTTGTAATGATCTGTTAATATAGAGGATGTCCAGGGAAGAAACAAAGAAACTTTGAAAATAAGGTCATAAGTCAATTGTAAGCATATTTTGTCTAATAAACTCCTTCAATATTTCGAATGCATGAGCCACAATAAGAACTCAATAGTTGGTTTGAAAAAGTACTTTCTATGACAACAATTTTTTTTTCAGAAATATGTAAATTGTTAATTTTTTACACAAGAAATGAATATATTTGTTCACAAAGAAAAAATAACAAAGAAATAAAAAGCAATTGAATATTGTAAATTAATTTGAAAATTGAACGGAAACAAATCAGATCTCATTTAGACTGCGGGATTGACCTGATAACAAGGCTCTACTTTATCTCTATGCTTTTATTTTAATAAACATATTTTTAGTTGGTAGTACTTTTTTTGAGACGCAGTGAATGTTTTTCTTATAAGTATTTTTGGATTCTTGTGAAAGACTAACTCTACCTGATAATGCGACCATATTGAGTCCCAAAATGTGTTGTAGTGCAATTTGATGAATAAAAATGTTTAGTTACAAAGAAAGAAGTTTGATAGCCTTTAAATATGCCGAGGACACCATTGCCCAGTTTGGTATTGTAATATAAGCTTTACTTTCTCAAATATTTTTATTTTTTACTGCTTGATCTCTTGATGCCTTACTACGTAAGTAGTAACAAGAAAGTACTGTAATGGTGCGGCGGAAACGGCGATTTTTCGACCCTTATTGTCTGCCCCTGGTAACGTAAAAGTGAATAAATCTTGTTCCAATATGTAATAAAAATGTGTTCCTGTATTTAGTCCTCTCACACCTGTAGTCAGAATCCATGATTTGGGCGTCCTCGTTACAACAATCGATTGACGGCAAGCTGTCTGTCTATCTGTGGTGAACGCCAGCTACTAAACTGTTCAGACGATTTTCTTCAAAATTGATTTTTCCCTATCGATCCGAACGAACTCGAGACCCCGCGAGTTTGAAATGAATATTTTGATTTTTGGGAGTACTTCACATGAAGCCTTAAAACATTTTCAAAATCGCTTAAAAATGGTTTCAATTTTTTGTTTTAAACCTTATCCTCAAATAGCTTAAAGGGCACTTAAAAGAATATCAATTTTGTTAATATTCCTAATTTTTCGAAAATTTAAAAAAAATTGAAATATTTTGGCGTCTTCTTACAACTACAATATTGAAGATAGATATTTTTTCTTAATGAAATCTGTTTCTTACAGACACCTTCAAGTAAGGTCCTGTACAATTTCTAGAAAAAGTAAGTAATTTTCTCGTAATTTTCGTGAAATGTAGGCCAATTTTAAACAATTATTTTCTCAAAACCGACTGTGAATATCTTCATTAAATTTTGTCCCTGTATGAAGGGAAGAACGGGAAAAAATTAAGTGCCAAGTTTCAGTGAATTCTGAATTTTAGAAAATTTATTATTTCTTAAATAAAATCAGTTATATAAAAATATTTCTTAGAAAAGGTCATGTACTACAACGCAATTTGTTATAAAATGTTTTAAAAATTGCTCAATATTTTTTTTCATATTTTTTCCGCGAATAGAGCATAGGACGTTCAAAATTTGCACAGGTTTCAGTTTCGCTAACCTATCTGTATTTTTGAAAATTACAAAAGTAGGAAATAACGCGAGAAAGTATGTACTGTATTATCTCCACTATTTTGGCCTTAGCAATCCTTGAGACATAATGTTCAACCCAGTGAAAAATATTTTTTCTTAATTTTTACATCCAAAAATTTTAAAAATTGGTCAGAATCATATATACACTAATATGCACTTAAAATGGAAGCAATGACAGCGAACCCAAACAATTAATGACCGTGAAGGTTACCTCCTTTATGGCAAAGGTTTTACTAATAATTTCATCCCTAATCCAAATTTTGAATTCGGAATCTTGCACGAGCAAAATAGTACATACTTTGGTGATCTGAACATGCTGGCTGCACTGTTCCGCCATTGAAGTAGAAGTCCGCGTGCCCCACAGCTTCTATTTTTCCAAAAACTCCTACATTAGTGTGAAGAACGTCCACGAAGTCTGCATCACTTGCATCAAGTTTCCAAGTTTTTTTCAACGTTGCAAAAAGAGGTAAAGCTGGATCCAACCCTGCAGATGTAAAAATCAGATCAATTACAAAACTGTAGCTTTTAACGTGTATTATATTTGCATTGAGATAAATTACTATAATAATGAATCGCTAGTATCCTATTTTTTGACTATTAATAAGAATATTTTTCGTAAAAAAAGTTTATTTTCCACACGTAACGTTAAAGTAGTTACTTCTTGTTTTCCGGTATTGCTAAACGAATTAAATGAGACCTGGTCGTCAACCCAAATAACAGACGTGGTTGGTTCTAACACCACCGGCCACATGCCTGGTGAACACCCTTGGTCCGCGTCTGTCGTTAGTTTGCGTCTGCGCCGGCGCGTGGCCGCTCACCCGTGATGCGTCCGAGGCGCGCGCCCGTGGCTTCGTGCACGGCGTTGCTGGCGAAGGCCGCCACGTGCGCGCCCAGGCTGAAGCCCACGGCGTGCACGCGCGCCAGGCTGAGCTGCGGCAGGCGGCGCGCCAGGGCCACCAGGAACTCGCCCGTGCAGCGCCCGGCCTGCAGCGTGTTGAAGACGGCGGCCGGGTAGCAGGGCGCCGTCGCCAGCCGGCCCCAGTCCACCGCCAGCACGTTGGAGCCGCCCCTGCGCAGGAACGCTGCCCGCCGGCCACGTAAGGATCGGGTTTTCGGTCAACTGATTGTTTCGTGTTTCCGGGCGTGTCTGCTGCTATGGTCTGACACGTTAGTGTAGTGCATGTTTTTATCATGGGAAGTGGAGGTTTTCTCCCCATGTTGGATGGTCAGATCCTCAACCTACATGTCGGCTTGCGGGTTTTTCTCCATTCAACTATCTTCCATTAGCGGGGCACCGCTCCACCCGGGGACAAATTATGCGGGTAAGTGATACTTTTCAGTAATTTAAATATAAATTGTTTAAAAATTGGTAAAATGTGTTTTTCAATCTCATTTTGGCGCAAATTTCAATTTTTTAACTGATAAACTTGGTTTTATTTCTTTTTCACTATTGTCCACGTTGTTTAAATATCTGAAAACATATGTTTCAGAATGTTTTAAGAGTCATTCTAGGAGGGAAAACTGAGACAATACTCCAACGTTATCACGCCGAAAATCAATTTCAAAATATTAATTATTTTTTCTTTTTGAATCTGGCATCAAAATTGGTTGACCAAAATACTTTCAAACTCTACTATTTTCCCTCGTCTTTGCATTTCATCCAGCCTGAAACATGCAATACAAGCTGAGAAAAATAAAATATGAAAAACACGTTTTTCGTTGTATCTCTGCAACGGATGACCCTAGGAGTCTGATTTTTTGGGAATCTACAGCATTTTTTATTATTTTAAGGCTCTCACAGACCAACGCGGAAGATCCGCAAAGGGTGCGGCGCGGAAGGTTCAGAGCTGCGCGGCGGCGGAATCCGCAAGACCGTTCACACCGGGGCGTCAATTAAGGCTTTGCGTTTGGTGACAGTTTGTCTCATCCGATAATCATAAGCAAGGAGAGCTCGATTCAGAGGGGAGCGAAGACTCTCGAAGGCGGACGGGCTTCCACCAAACTCGAGCGTCAGCGGTTGAAACGCATAAAAAAAATTTTAAAAAAATCCTCGCTGCGTTCCAAAATCCTCAGGTAATAAAACGCTGCCAATTCGTTGCCTGCCGCGCACGTCTGAACGTGCTCAGGAAGCAACACGAGACACGAAATTTCCACTGCGGCAATTCCGTCTAGTCTGCGGATCTTCCGCGCAGGTCTGTTGGAGCCTCGCGATTATCGAGTATCGCGATTACCGATTTGGTTTGGGGGCACTTTTCAACGCCTTATTCGGCTGTCCTATACATATTATTAGTAAAGCATTCATTTGTGTAATTGACAGTGTATACTAATGTGTATTCGAAAATTACAGTGAATACTCATTCCAAACATTTCAGTAATAAAAAAATGTGGTGATTAGGCAAACAAAAAAGTATTTTAAGTAATAAGAAAATATTGAATCATGTAAAGGAATAGGTAATTAATAGTGTAAGCTTTGGGTAAATACGAATAGTGATGTGTTGAAAGTGGCTTCTCCACCGTAGTACGTAACACGCAGTTTGCCGCTAAATAAGAAAGTAAGGATTTGTGCATGTAAAATATTAGGGCGCAGAAGCAAACACTGATTTTCATTTTCATTTATGTGCACCTTAAGAGAATTATCTTTTGAGTTTCGAACAAAAACAATGCGAGCCTACGACTTCATCCCAAACAAGCCTACGACTTCATCCCTGGGGTGGCTCCTGGACATTTTGAAAAGTTAATTTATTTATTCATTAACAATTAAAATCACTTATTGTTAATCAATAAAATAATGAATTAACGTTTGAAAAATAGGAAAAATATTACATCTAGTGTCGAGAAAGAAAGACTGAAATCATCTCGCCAAAAATGCAGTCAACACATCAAATAAATGCAAATTCTGTATAGTTCATTCGTAGTGAGTAGACAATATTGAAGGAAATTAGTGCAGTATTTCCCATTGCTTACCTTTATAGATATTGGCAGTGGCGCTGAAGTTTACATGGCCAACATAGCCGTGCACAATAATGTGGGTTGTGAGATTGGTGTCGAAATTTTGAGGCTCGGGGTTCATGATATCCAAAACATCCGGATTGTAAGGATCGTCACTGAAACAACATGAATTTGATGTGATTATTTGTTGTTATTGCTCACTAGTAAAACAGACAGTTGCTGGTTCAGAATCAAAATAATTTACTTTAAGCAGAGAAACAAATATCAAATCGAACTTCACGGGATTTCCCCAGTAATTAAATAATTTCGATAGGTAAATGAAATCTTTATTTAAACAGTTCATGACGAGTTTATGAAGTCGAAATTGAATTCATCACGAACGCCTGTAAAAGGTCTAGTATTTATTATCTGAATAATATTTCCGTCGCCTTGACAGCCGAGAGTGGGGAAGAGCGATATTGCAACTTACTCGGGCGGCAGACAATGATCGTTCTTGCGTCAGATCAGCTGTTGAGGCATACCCGTCTAACTTATTGTATTTATAGTATAAGTGTAATAATGACACTAGTTTATTTGATGAAGTATTATTACACAAAGTTATCGCAGTCCCTTACACTAATCCCGCCAATGCAAGGAAAAACGAAACATTTTTGCACAACACGCGCAAAGCAGATGAAAAGTACAGCAAGACGCGTTTTTAGAAGGAAGATGCGTAGTATTATGCATTATTTATAAGAGGGAAGTATTTAATCTCGAGACATTCTGGGTTTGAATACGCAATGGAAGCACACGTCACTAGACGACACAGAAGCGCACACACGACGACCAAAGAAGTAATGGCGCTCGGCGCTCTTCAATTGTCAAGTCCTTCGCGCTATGAGATTGCATTTGTTTCTGAGTAAACGTCGGTAACTCTGTAGTGACATCATCACAATTTGAAACCTCATATTGAATTACGGAACTCCCTCTCCCTGTCAACCGGGAACTGTCACGTAGACGAGCATTATTCGCAGTAACATTATTGTTAACCAGAAACGTTCTTGTCAGAAATATGACAGACTTAATGTTGAAAAGTATTATTTTCTAGTTTTTACAAATCAATTTGTTTGTAATATACCTTTCAATATCTGCTCAGGTGGTTTTGTTAGTTAATATTTAGTAGTTCGGAAATGATTTCCCTCCGTTCTCGGAGGGGTATTTTAACTTACTGGTAAGTATACAGTTAACTAAGATAAAACAATGTTTCTCAGTTTTCTACTCGTGGCGTTACCTTGAGCTCCATTTTGAAGACGAACATACAAAAAATAAAACTTGTGTATGCAAATTTGAATGGTTTTTACAAACTGAAACCCGAAGTTCGATTAGATAGGTGTCATATATTTCAAAAAGGAGTGAATGCCGTAAACCCCCTAAGCCCGTAATATTTGACATAAATGGTATTTATAAATGAGAATTCCACTGTAATACATAAATATATCCTTTTATTAAACCATACACTTGAATGAATGTGTAGAACTGACACACACACACACACAAACAAAAAACAAAACAAAACAAAACAAATCAACAGTGAACTAGTGCAATGTTAAATCTAAGTATGAACAAGCTGAGCAAGTGCATGCCACTTCGCCAAATTTTAATCTAAAATTTCTTCTTCTTAGGACTTCTTCCAGCCGGCAGCCGGGGTGCAAGTCCCCTCCATGAAAAACACGACCACACCATAACACCATTTTGGACGTGTCCGGATACTTTTGATCACATAGAGTAGCAAGGTCAAATCCATCCGCTGAGTAGAGACGAATTCTAGCGGTCTGCTCCTCTGATCGATTCTTTTCCGTGGTTTCTCCAACCAACTGTCAATATTAATTCAATTTTTGCTTTCTCGCACTTTAACTTTACGTATTTCTACAATTTATATGATCGTCTGATCAATGACAATATTCATTTATTACAAACCGTCTGAATAAAAAATACATGTAATATCGATTTTTTGTCGAACTATTATTAATGCTTTTTGATTTATTTTCATCGGAACAATTGCGTACATGGCAACGCATAGTAGCAATGTAATAGTGAAGTATCCTTGAATGTGACATTCGATGCCATTTGTCCAATGTGGTATTTTAGTATTTTCCTGATGTGATAATCAGTCTATTCCACGTACCGAAACACGCGGTAACAACACGTTAGTGAAGTAAATCTTGGAATGGGTCAAGAATACAAAGTTATTTTTTAATCAATTTCCTTTCCAGCATTGAAATACGAATGTCATGATCGAAATTGAGTGAATTGAATGATGTGAAAAAAATATAAATTGAATTTAAATTATGATTTCCTATTGAAAATGTCAATATTATTTCAATTTTTGCTTTCTCGCACTTTTACTTTACTTATTTCTACAATTTATATGATCGTCTGATCAATAACAATATTCATTTATTACAAACATTATTACAAATAAACTTCTAAAAAGTATAGTATAGTTTTATGGACGGAAAGCTGATCACATTTAGTATCTATATAAACAGCGCTATTTATTATGACATCCCACGGTACAATAGTAGGTCGTCTTCGCTTACCTCATGCGCCCAGAACATTGCGGTGTTCATTCAGGGTCGAGTAGCTTTCTCACTTTCATAGTAGCCCTTACAGCCTTTCTAGGAGCGTCTGCAAACGTGAGGACAATAACGAATGTCTCATTACGCTTCTTTGCATGATATGATGCTCCCTGGACACCGACGAATGAAGAGAGCTCCTTACTGAATGCTATTTTGTGAATATTCAGAGAGTATCGTTGCAATGGAGTGTAACGACTAAGGTAAGGAGAAAAGGTCTTCAAAATTCATACCAGAAGCGAATTTCCATTTTTGGAGTGTTAGGCAAATGTGGGGATCGGATATATGAAGAAATACGAAAGTTGCCTTGAGGATTAGAATACTAGTTTCTATTTCTGTTCTTTGTCTGTTTTAACATGTGGTAACTGAAGTTAAGTGTGAGCTCTGAGAAACGTGTACATATAAAACGTGTAAAAGGTA